GTTTATAGCAACCGGTAAGTCTTTTGGAAACGCTCTAAAATTCTAAATTATTTTGTTCAATTCTATTTCAATCAATGCCCCACCCTCCTAATTTGTCTTCAGAAAGAAAATATTTATGTTGACGACTCGTCTTTTTAACTTTCAAACGCGGAAAATTCTGTACACACATCGATTATCATTTTATTTTTGATATTTTTTCTTTTCGTTTCAGGTCAGGGTGCTCAATAGCGGTTTTTACTATTGAGTAAAATACTCCATGGATGGGATACCATCCCTGTTGAAGTTAGTATATTATAGATGTACATTATACGGGTATAGAATTAGGCACTGTATACGCAAATCATCCGTAATTCTTTCTTGAAAATGGGTCATTATAATTTATCGAGCGTTTTCGAGTTTGTCTGTTGATGTGTAACCTTTGATACAGCAAGATGCCCAGCAAGTTTTGGCAAATCAAGTTAAATTTTGATTCGCATTTCTTTAATATTTGGTGGCAATTTAAAATATTCCAGTAGTAAAACTTCAAATATACAATATGATTCGCAGATAAAAAAATTTAATTTTGGCTAATCATTGGAAATATTGTATTGCTAAAGAGGTCATTTCGACTCACAAACTGATTAGGGATACCGCTTAAATTGAACCTGGGACCGCAACAATATTTTATTTCATTTGATTTGTTCTCTTGGCTTTGCTGGCAGTGCCGTTTGATAAACTGGCCCCATTTTTCAAAAGTAGTTTTAAAGATGTTTTGTAAACTTAGTATGTGTATATGGGACACAGATAGCATCAATTTGCATCATTTGAACTACAAGAACCACAGACATCTGACTGAAACTTGGAATGGAGCTGATCAATGCCATAAGTGTCATCAAAAAACACAATAAGTTTGGAAAACCTCGATACAATTCCTTTTAGGGATTTTGGCGTATATATAAGATTCTGCGTCTGGTCTTTCAGATCTTGGCCAGAACTTTCTGCCGAGGGCTCAAAGTCTCGTTGCCAGATGTTACTCATTCCAGATTTGTGCCGGACCTGAGCAAGACGAATATTAGGAACTCACTTGGAATTCACATAGTGGCTTAACTACCATAGTGACTGGTGGAACAATCTTAAAATCTCCCAATCACGGGAATTAAATTGACTTACAGGGGGGTCTCAGAATGCAGGAGTACATGGGGCCACGCACCCACGGCCTAGCTTCATTAAAAGGATTGTCAAGGTTTCTATTAATGATAGTTTTATATTCATCGGAAACACTGACAGCATCTATTTGCACCATTCCAATTTTCAATCAGATGTCTGTCGTTCCTGCAATTCTACTAAAACGTAGTGTTTGATGATGTCACTAATCGCGAAGAGCCCTGTTAGTAAAGCATATTTTACGATAATGGCGTCAACAAACACTTAGTTTTACAGGAATTGCTACAACTTCCAACGTTTGATCGATGTTGAAACATCTTGCAGCGTGCAATGAAGGAAATTTTGACGATGCGATCCAAGGATGGTAATTTATGATGTTATCATTGATTAAAGATCATAGTTAAATATATCAAAATGTTCACTGTTATAGTGTATTTTCATTGCAAAGGCTTAGATTCTACAAATTACATTGGCCATGGAAGCTAAGAGATTATAATTTTACGTTTATAGAAGACCATTAATGGTCGTAAAACAAGCAATCTTCTAAGTTGGGGACAAGGGATAGTGGTGGGTGGGAGCATTATCCCTCAAGATAGAGGTTTCGCCCCATTCTCCACTGTTTAACAAGTTTCTGAGTGGGGGGCTTAAAGGTGAGTGGGGAATGGCATCCTCCCTCAGAATAGAGGTTTCGCCCCTCCCCACTGTTTGTCCCCCCTATATTGGACTGCTTGCGAACAGTAACTCCAGGAGTAGAGTATAAACAACACATACTCATGCACGTGAAAATATCACAGGTCATATGAGATCAAATCATAACATCTTTCTTTATAACCATATGCAGTCGTTTAAACCTAAACAATATGAAAATAGCACTGAATTCTCATAGCACAACTTAACCTGAAAAAAAAATACTTGCGAAATATCCTGGTCCATTGATAGCAGAGCTAAAACCTACCCAAATAAAACCAAACGATGTAAATTGTGTTTAACTGAAAAGCTTTCCATCAATGTCCCTAAGCACACGTCTTTAAACAAACATTCCGAACTCGTCTTTAAGTGTAGACATAAGAGAATAAGTTCCTCTAGTCCAACTTCAGTAGGGACGTAGGCTGAAAATAGTTCAGTTGTCTGAAATGAAATGAATGGAGTTTTACGTCCTATTTTTCTGCACCATGTGGGCTAATGAAGATGGGCAACGCCATGCAGAGTGCAATGAGGGAAATTTTGCCAGGACAGCTGCATTATTAGCCTGCTCTTTTTCGATTTCCAACTGTTGAAGGATCTTTAACATGCACAGCCTGTAGCACACGGTGTCATCCGAACGTCTAGACGTGTTTTTTTTAAGTTATAATCTCATATGAATGTGGGTCATTTTTTACATAATATAATGTCTATTGTCGGAGAAAGTTCGTGGGTGTGGCAACAGGCAGGGTACTAATGATTGATATACTTACTCATGTGAAAAGCTCATTAGCTGCTACCATGTTTCGCCAACATGTTGTTTAGATATCGTGTTAAGTTTTGCTATTCAAATCATTTGTACTTCGTTAATTTATTGGTTTATTGAAGTAAATTTGAATAACAGCTTCATAACAACACTGATATTCTTAAAATGATCTTTGCTTCAATCGCCCCCTTCAATCATCTGCTAGTCACACAAATATATTCCAATTCTCAAAACTTTTGAGCCGGAAACGTAAGATATACATCTATTTATTTCTTTTTCATTGGGGTGCTACAGATTTTTACAATAATCATGAAAATGTGAAGGAAAATAGGTTTAAATTAGTTTTACGCGGTTAATCCATGATTTTAGGCAATAACGGTAAAAATGTGGACAGAGTTTGAGTCACTTTACGTTAATCCCGATTACATCATTCGGGTTTTCTCGGCAATATTCGCAAAAGTAATTAACGAGCTCACCTATCCAATAACGGAAAATATCGGTAATTCCGGTTACATTATTCGGGTTTTCTCGGCAATTTTCGCAAGTACCTCTGTCTTTAATATTGTGAGCTTACCTATCCAATAACGGAAAATATCAGTAGTCCTGATTACAACATTCGGGTTTTTCTCGGCAATTTTCGCAAGAGCCTCTGTCTTTCATGACGTACATCGCAAATAAACCTTCTTTCTTTTAGTTTTCGAACTGTTAGCGACCAACGTTTCGGCAAAAAGGGAACAGCTATCAAGATTTTGGCCACGTTTGTCAAAAACCAAAGCTACTCGGAATACAAGTTTAAGCGCAAGCGCTGGAGTGAACATAAGGGTCAGAAAAGTAAATGGTTGGTTGGTAGAAAAGTAAATGTGTATACAGTCCCTATATGTTGCCCTATGTTGATGGACATATCACACAAGGTAGTTAACAAAAATTTGCAATCAAATTAACCCTCCATCCAACCTGTACCAACTGACATTGGACATCGAGAAACACTTCTAGTTGTAAAAAGTATACCCAAAAATATTTACCCAAAGTTGTAACATAATGAAAGGTCTTTTATAGTATTTTCAAATTATTTTGTTATTGACTTGAAAAATTGGCAACGTTTTTTTCTGTGTAGAATTTCCTTCTTTATGTTGGTGTGGGCACATCACATTTTTCTGTGCTCATTTTGTGTTGTCCAATGATTAAAACGGAAACATCAGATACGTTCATAATGGAACAGTCATTTTATCTGATCTCGCCTTTATCTGTTGTCTATGGCAATTTCAACGGGGATTACCCAGTCCTACTTATTTCCCCCAATCTCAAATTTCTTGAATATTTGTTGTTGCTTTGAGCTTCCATAGAAACTTATGTGCTTGCTCCCTCCCTCCCTCACTCACTCTCAAATTTCTTAAACATCTGTTGTTGCTGTGAGCCTCCTTTAATACTTATGCGCCCCTTCCTCCACTCTCAAATTTCTTAAATATCTGTTGTTGCTGTGAGCCTCCTTTGATACTTATGTGCCCGTTCCCCCAGTCTCAAATTTCTTAAATATCTGTTGTTGAGCTTCCCTTAATACTTTTGTTGCCCCCACTCCCCAATCTCAATTTTTAACATATTTCTTGTTGCTGTGAGCCTCCCTTGATACTTATGTGCCCCTCTCCCCCACTCTCCAATTTCTTAAATGATTGTTGTTGCTGTGAGCCTCCCTTCATATTTTTCTTAAATATCTCTTGTTGCTGTGAGCCTACCTTGATACTGTGCCCCCCTCATGCACATTGCATGGCATTGTCCGTTTTATTTTTCCCAATTCGATTCAGAAGAGTAGGACCTAAAAGTCCATTTATTTCATTCGTTGAATCCTACTGAATAGACATAAAAATAGAATTAACAGTGTATAGTGGTGATAATTGTTTGTAGTTTTGTGCTAAATTTAGTCCAGAAAAGGACCTTTCATTTTGATCAAAACTTTTTGACAAACGTGCTCAAATAGTTCACGACTTTTTGTCGAAACTTTGGTCCCTTACACCAGTTCAAAAAACTAAGAGAAAGAAGGTTTATTTACGTTGAAAAGGACACTTCACAATATACGTCATGAAAGTTCCGAAAGCCTTGCGGAAACTGCAAAAGATAGAGCGGAAAGGACTGAATACAAAACCTGTTTGAACAGAACAAAGTCAGATAGATCGAATCGTAATTAATACAGAATTCTGTTTAAGTACGTCAAAATAATTTAGTAAATTTTGTTCCGAAGCCTTCATGTTATAGGGATTTTTGCGTGAACATCGATGATGAGCTCGTCTATAATTCAAAACAGAGTTCTAAGCAGTAATACAAAACCTATCAAGAAATCCCGAGTAACGTAATTGCGAAAATTGCCAAGGACTGATATTTTCCGTTATATGGAATGCTGACAATATTCGGAGAAATCCCAAGTAATGTAATTGAGGTTATTGATAATTTCCGTTATTTGATGGGTAAGCTCACAGTATTTAAGACAGAGGTCCTTGCGAAACATTTTGAGAAAACTGATTGACGTAATAAAATTTCCGAGAAAAGCCTGAATGATGCAATCGGGATTACCGTAACTCAACCTATGTCCACATTTTTGCCGTGATTTGCGTAAATTCATGGTTTAACCGTGTACAATTAGTCAAAACCTATTTTCCTTCATACATCCACGTACCTGAAAGAATTATTTTTTTAGTAGAAGTGGCGTTTAAGAACAATGTTTATTGATAAACGATTGAAATTGAGGGGAGAGGGCGAAACCTCTATTCTAAGGGAGGGTGCTCCCCCACGTAGAAACACTACTGCTTGTTTTGCGATCATTATTGGACTTATATACATAATATATATCAGAAGCTCTGTTCGAAGCTCAAAAATATATCAATATGATTCCATGGAAAGTGGATGTAAATAACATTCTATTTCTCTATTGACTTGTTTTCACAATCCTCAACTCTATTAGTGATGCTAAAATCAGAATCCTAACCTGTTTGCAGTTTTTAGAGCCAATAATTTTGCTGATGGGACAACACGGAATAAAGATTCTTCTGCTCCGTTCCAGACAGGATCGATTGGTTCCTTTCTGACTGGATAGTGGATCTCCACGTCTACAATACACAAATACTGGTAAACAAAATAAGAATAATAAGTGTTATCTATAAGCCTGCCCAAATTTGAAGTTAGCCTCAAAATATCAAGTTAACCTCACCCCAAAATATCAAGTAAGCCCTATCCCAAATATCAAGTTAACCCAAATAAAAACAATACTCAACCTAAAGCATCAATACTGCGTTACTGTCCTCCCCACTACTGGCACTGTTTCTATCAACTCTTCCTCTTTTATTGTGACAACCATTTTCTCTACTTCTTCCTGAAGACGATTTACTATTTTACTGTCACCTTCTTCAGATGTGTCATCTTTTACCTCTTCATTGATGGTTCTCTAAATAGTATATCTATATACCATTTGCCACGTGGACTCTCTAAACGGGAGTCAACAAACTTAATTACCAAATAACATTATTAGCCATGAAGACTTTCTTAATAGGTATGTGGAGAAGACAAAGTCGGATACGAAATATCCATTAATATATGCATTACCAGATAATAATTTACGAGAACTTACCTGAACTCCAGCAACATTAAGGAAGCAGTCCGTACCAAAAGGTCCATCAGCTATTTTAAGAGTTAACATACTGGGGGTGGGATGGTAGGCTGACTGAATCAAATCAAACACACTTTATCATTGGACAAATTTAAGGGACTCCCACAGCCATAGCCATCACCAGTTGCGTATGGTTGCGAATAAGAATAAAGTTTTGAAAGCAACTCTCATGTCCACTTTCATTATTCAAATATTTTCAAAGTACAGGTCAAAAATGGAGTCTTATATCCTACTTTTCTGCTCTTAATAAGATTAAAGAGGACAAACAACAACTTAATCTTCACTTTCAAACAGTTGCACACATGACCAATGATCATGGTTAATTGCCCCCTCTAAGCGGCACTTTTTCCATGTAAGCCCTTTTACATACATCACTAAACAGAGGGTAACCGAGTAACAAAGGATTGAAACCACAAGTAGGACTTACAATGAAGAAAGCAGTCATATTTAAAACAGCCTTGACAGAACAGGGTATGAAAAGAATGCATAGTTTGTTCACGAGGTACTGATTTTGCTCCTGGTCCATCAATGTTTGGCGTACATTCTGGTGGTAGGGTAAATGAAGTTAGTATCAGGATATATTGGAAACCGCGAGCTTCAAATGGACTAACTTATTTCTAGGTTTAGTACTAATAATATCCAGATTTCAACTTACTTTTCCTTTAATTCTTCAAGGTTTCCTTTTTCTTAAATGATATCACATACTGCTGCAGGTTTGGATAAGCTTTTATCGTCATCATCTAAAAAGTTTAATTTTTCTATTTAAGCTTAAATCTAATTTTTGTGTTTTTGTTTTTTATTTTGTTATTTCATTCACTAATTGATTAGATTAGATTAGATTAGATCTCATACCATACTGCTAACATAATCCTTAACATGACATCTGGAAATGGGGGTTATCTTTCCAATAAAGGACCCAGACATATGAGCAATGAAAGCAAAGTCACTGACCAAGAGATGGAAACAAATTTCTATAAAACAAAGACACTTGATTCCAATCCTAAGCTTAACCTAAGCTGTGAAACACCTATCTGATTCAAATTTTCCAAACAAACTGCTTTTTTATGAAATGTATATAAGTGAACTCACTCAACAGGACCAAGCATTTTATGACAATATTGTAGGACTAGAAGCTTTCTACTATACTACAGGATTTAAGTTGGATGCCAACACATATTTTGGACATAAGATCATAACAAACTGGCCTAATAACTTTCAGGATATTTCATGTCACAACTTACCACTAATTTGAAAGCCATTGTCATCAATATCAGGGTAATTAGCATGTTAGATTGTTAACGAGTTAAATAAAGATATCATCAGACATAAAATTACTGGGTCTCTCTCCATGTACCTTCCCTTCATAATTCTTTAACAACTCTTCAATAAAGGAACACTCTTTATTATGAATGTCATCGCCCATATATGGTATATTGTGAATTACTGTTTCATCTTCTACATGAAAATAGGAAATAAATAGAACTCAATTGGCAAAAGCCCATTTATGGAGGCAAAACAGATTAAAAAGAGAATTTCTGAACTTTAAATGTATTGCAGGGGAAATAATAGCATTATTATTAACAAGACTTCTCGCTATTCCAATCAGATGAATTAAAAGTTACCGATCTTACCATGAAATTCTGTGTCAAAAGAGTCGGGAAAATTCATCTTATTTATCACCTCACACTGGAAAAATTATAATAAATCACATCACATCACATCACATCACATCACATCACATCACATCACATCACATCACATCACATCTCAAGGAAATTAAAGTTTTTCCTTTTTGACCTGAACATGACAGCTGCAGTAATCCTATCAATAAAACTTATTAGTAATATAACGTTGCCATTACCAGTATATGATACTATGGAGATCAAATGTTGCTCCTTGTTAATTACTCCTTATTGTGATATGTATCGTTTTATAACCCTTTGATCATGATCGGCAATGCCCAATTTTTCAGAGACATACCTTTCTCGTTGTCGAGATTGTTACTCATGAAATATGGGTCAAAGTGAGGGATTAATAAGGAAAATCGAAACAAACCAATTTTAATTATTTTGTAGAATATCTGAGAAGACATCTAAGACATAAAATAAAATTTTCCGTTTTGTTTAACTTTGATGAAATTCGGTGTTGAATCCTTATGCACGAAAATAGGTTACACCACTGTATTTGCTTTAAAAAGGCCACTTCAGTTAACAACAGCCCTCTTAGACATTCATCAAATTAACCTTTTCACTCGATCACCTGCATTATGGTAACCAATCAAATTTCCAACACTAGTATTTTGTGATGCTGTGTTTATCAAATAATTCAAAAGGTTAATTTGATGAAGTAAATGAAGTGGCTATCATCAAATTAAAGAGATTGACCAATCACAAATAAAAGTTAATAAAAAACGAAACATAGTACCCTATAATTATCAAATGCACATTATAAACTAAATGTTATCTCTGAAATGTTGATGAGCTAAAAATAAAATGCATATTATTAAAGATACTCTGACTCTGAAAGGAATGTTGATTTGACAAACCTATATACTAAGTGGCATCAGTTTATCTGGAATAGATAAAACTGCATCTAAATCTTCAACCCTACCTTAACTTCTTCTGCATTTTTGTTTCTTCGTATATGACAAAGTTTCATCTCAGATCGCACATAATGCTTCCAGTCAACTACTAAACTAGTCTCTTCTTGAATCAACATAGCAGCCTGTGAGGCAGACGCAGCCTTCTGGGTAGAACTTAGTAAATTATCCATAGGAGTTGACATTCTCTGATTTCTAAAACAAAAACCAGCTTTCAGAAATTAAGCTTCTAGTATTATCATTCAAATTTCTTTAGAATTCTGTTGCAATTCAAAATGTTTAACTTATAGACTTCAGAATGAAAGTTATAGAGAAAAGCACCGATGGTTTGCATTAGGCTATTACATTTCTAGAATTAGCAAGCTTATACAATTTGATTTGATTCACAAATGTGGGTCATTTTCACAGGGTATTGAAATGAAAATTTTAAATCCTTATATATCCAAGAATCCGAAGACATTCTAAGTAAAATAGAGTTAACTGTGGCGTGGGATTGTTGGACTGGGAGTGTGGGCAAGTTGGGGCACAGTCACAATGAACGGCTGTGGATTGCTCAAAGATTCAACAAACAACATAAAATACCTTGCAAAATGTTCCCTCTTTCTTTAAGAATTGATAGTTTTAAAATGTCATTAATATAGTTTATGATTTATATTTCTAGTCCACTTGAAAGCAAAATATTAAATATTTTCATTGTTTTTATCTTCCGCCATATTCTTCTAAATTTGAAAAAGAAAAGATAACTCTTCAACAGAAATGTAGGCTCAATTATCAGGACCGACCCACATAAACACTAGTTTCCACATTTCAAAATACAATGTTCTATATCTCTATCCTGAAATTTTGCTGAAAATTTCCAATATGTCACATGAAAGCCTGTCCAATACTTAGTTTCGGGACAAAAAAAAATTCAAACTAAAAGTAGACCACTACATTTTATCAATATCCGGTTGACTCTTTACATTTTAGAATTATGCTGCCGCATGTAAATCTCTCATCATTTCACATAATTTGAAAAAAAATGCAACTGACTGAGATTAAATTCCGAATCTACACCAAAAAAAGTCCAAATAGGCATACAAAAAAACACAAAAGGAGGAGAGAAGAAGTATTTTTAAAAATAGCACGGACTACATTCGTATACAATCATTTGCATAATTTATTTTTTTCCCTAATTGTTTTTAATTCGGTTTTAAGTGTTTTTCCGGGTCCCTGGGGTCTAATTAGTAGGAAAAACCCAAAACATGGGCCAAATCGGTTTATTTGGCAAAGTTAGCTATTGCACGTTTTCCGTCTATATGGCCTATAAGAGCCGAATATCGGCAACTTTTCCCGGCCTAACTTTTTCCCTATGGGAGATTTCTCTGTTCTGTTTTTTTCTAAATGTGTAGGGGGCCCATGTGCATATGCGTGCAAAATTTCAGCTTTGTAGCTTGGTAACTTTTCAAAATAAAAATTTATTTGTGTATAAGCACCTTTCGTGCAGTAGTCCCTTGAAAGTAAAAAAAATCTATTTTTTTCCCTAATTGTTTTTAATTCGGTTTTAAGTGTTTTTCCGGGTCCCTGGGGTCTAATTAGTAGGAAAAACCCAAAACATGGGCCAAATCGGTTTATTTGGCAAAGTTAGCTATTGCACGTTTTCCGTCTATATGGCCTATAAGAGCCGAATATCGGCAACTTTTCCCGGCCTAACTTTTTCCCTATGGGAGATTTCTCTGTTCTGTTTTTTTCTAAATGTGTAGGGGGCCCATGTGCATATGCGTGCAAAATTTCAGCTTTGTAGCTTGGTAACTTTTCAAAATAAAA